AAAAAGGGGTTTTCCTTTACGCTTCAAATTTTTCAATCGATTTCTTCTACCCGCTTCAAATTTTTCGGTAGGTTTTCGATTCCCGCTTTGTATTTCTGTCTTCCATTTTCTCTCATCTTCCTTCCGGCTTCTTCTTTTTCGTCCGTTTTTCCTCCCTCGCAATTTTTTTCTGCCCGCGTCGTCTTTTTTTCGGTCGTTTTTCTCCCTCGCAATTTTTTTCTTCCCGCTTCGTATATTTTTCGGTCGTATTTTTTTCTTTAATTTTTTTCCTCCTTCCCGTTTTTTTCCTTCCCGCTTTGTATTTTTTTCTTTAATTTTTTTTCCTCCTTCCCGTTTTTTTCCTTCCCGCTTTGTATTTTTTTGCCCTTTTTTCTCCCTACTTCCCGTTTTTTCCTTCCCGCTTCGTATTCTTTCTTTAATTTTTCCACCGCTTTCCCGTTTTTTTTCCTTCCCGCTTCGTATTTTTTTCTTTAATTGTTCTCCCTCCTTCCCGTTTTTTTCCTCCCCGGTTCGAATTTTTTCGCCCTTTTTTCTCCCTAGTTCCCGTATTTTCCTTCCCGCTTCATATTTTTTTCTTTAATTTTTCTCCCTCCTTCCCGTTTTTTCCTTCCCGCTTCGTATTTTTCGCCCTTTTTCTCCCTCCTTCCCGTTTTTTCCTTCCCGCTTGTATTTTTTCTTTAATTTTTCTCCCTCCTTCCCGCTTCGTATTTTTTCGCCCTTTTTCTTCCTCCTTCCCGTTTTTTTCCTTCCCGCTTCGTTTTTTTTTCGCTCTTTTTTCTTCCTCCTTCCCGTTTTTTCCTTCCCGCTTCGTATTTCGCTCTTATTTCTCCCTCCTTCCGTTTTTTTCCTTCCCGCTTCGTATTTTTTCGCCCCTTTTTCGCCCTGCTTCCTATTTTTTTCTTTCCGCTTCGTATTTTTTGCGTCAATTTTTTTTCTTCTCGTTTTTTTCCCGTTTGTTTTGGCGACAAAAAAAAATTTTGCGGCCGCCTTCGGCGCCCGCAAAATTTCCCGGTATCCTGAATACCTGGATACCAAGTTTTTTCCACCAGCGTCCTCTTGTCCGTCCATCCGTCTGTATGTTAACGACCTTTTTGCATCAATTGATGCTAATTAATAAGTCCCTGCTCCATTATAACCGGTCTGAGGAGCACCATTGGTATCGAACAAGCCGTGGCGCAAATGGTGCGAATTAATTGTGCAAATTGATCTAGAAATGACTACAATTTAGGAATAGGTAGCACCGTTAGTATCGAACAATCGGTTATCCAAAATTGTGTGAAACAATTGGGGGAATCGATGCAAGATGCACCAAAAGTGCAGAATAACTAATGAATATAATAAAAATCGATCAAGTCCATTCTTTAATAAGTTAATAGCACCATTGGTATCTAACAATTGAGAACCCAAAATGATGCGAAATAATAGGGGCTACTGGATGTAAAACGCACCAATAGTGCAGAATATCCGGGAGAAATAATCATACAATTTTGACATAAAATTTTCAAAATTATGTAGCCGGAGGGACGCTAAAGTTGCACAAGTGGTCCAACTAATTTGAGCATTTGCGACATTTCTCCGTTTATATTGCACCATAGGTGCAAGAATATATAATAATTATGATTTATTTTGTCGGCTTATTGTGCACCTTCGCGAAGGTGCACTAGTATAGCACTTTGCACCGAAGCTTCAGTGCAAAGTTCTATCTAAATAATTTTGACAGGGTGAGCTACTTCCAACGTTACTACGGTTTATTTATGTGTACACTCCAAATAAAGTTGAGTAAAATTTGCGATGACACAACGGGTTGTGCAAAATTTACCCGACGAAGGTAAAATTTACTCAAGGTTGAGCTAAAATTCTACAACGTTGGATAAATTTTAACTTTCATAATGTAAATTTTTCTCAACCATTTGTGTCATCGCAAATTTTACTCAAACTTGAGTAAATTTTAATCAAATTTATTCAGAGTGTAGGTAAAAAAACGATTTTCGAATTTTGCACTTTTGCACGTTCGCATAGGACAAGACAAATGTCAAACGCAAGTTATGGTCTAATTGTTGTTACCCAATGTACATTGGCTTTCTCATTTTTCCCGGTTTCTTTCTTCAATTTTTTGAAGGGGGGTTGGTTGCATATAATTTAAAATAGCTAAACTACGTATATTAAAAGTTGCGCCCGAAAGTTTGCTTCCTAATTTTTATATTTGATTTCGTGAAAGCGTTGCAACGCGGAATGGCACATTTCCCATAATATGCCTCTATTGACATTTTTAAGTGCATACCAAATTTCAAGTCGATCGGATGAGTAGAACAGAAATAAACTTTGAGACAGACGACAGACGGACAAAACGATTCCATGAACCCTGACTCGGGCTAAAAATGTGCCAGAGCGAGGACAGTGTAACTTGTTACGGTATGGTAACTTGTTACGGTGTGATTCATTGACGAACATAAAGCAGTGAAAAATGCGAAGTTATATACACAGAATTATACCATTAATAGTAAATCTAGAAGACGTACTGAACGACCCATAGTAGCCACTTTATGAGCGCCCGTCGTTGTCCTCAACCAAACTATATAATACACTTATGTATTGCACACCAGCGCCACGGGTTGTTGTCTCGAGCAATTTAATACACAGATGGGTATGTGCGCCACCGTCACTCCAGTTGAGATACAACTATTTCTCTCCAATCAAAACCAAAGACAGGCCCCTTGGTTATACATAAAAACGAGTCTTTTCAAAAACTCTTCTGGCGCGCTAGAGTGGAGACGGTGATATCCAATCTTATCTAGTGTACGCTCGGGCGCCTGTCTTTTCGGCGCCCTGGGCAATTGCCCCGGTTGCCCCCCCCCCAAAATCGGGGCCTGATATCTACTTACAAATATATACCATACGACTGTTGGTAAGTGAAATTATATGCGATTTATTCTGGCATGATGCCTAGGAAATTGATGAGCTTTCATTTTCTTTGATGGATATGTACTTATGTAAATATGAGTTGCTATGTATCCAATAATTTGACGCTTTTTCAAAGGTAGAAGCATTAAAAAAGTGAATTTCCAATAAATCTATGTATTTAGATGTGACGTGTATAAAGAATAAACCAGTCGAAACAGTTGACAGTATTCCCATAAGTTGCAATGACAATACGGCAAGAGTTGACCGATTATCAGGGGTGGTTTAGAGGTGAAATGGATTACCAAAACGAGAAATCCATCCAATCCAAAATCCATTTGGATTTATCCAATCCATCCAATCCATTCGAAATTTTGCAAAAAAAATATCCAATCGAATCCATAACTCTCAAACCATTAAAAATCCAATCCAATTCAAAACAAAAATAAAAAATCTATATTATCCAGCACTAGTTTTAAATTAAACCAATAGAATCCAGTGTAAAAACATGGGTATAATATTTACAAAATCAGCAAAACTATATTTAAAAAAATACTGCCATGATATACACACCTATTATTAAATTTCGTTATATTTTTAATATAACAAAACTAGTTTATAACACCGCCGATTGACAGACAAAAACTAGATGGCAACATTAGTGAATTTGGCTCTCCTTTCAAATGCCAATATGTTACCGACCAAACCAGCAATACACCCGCCTGCTTTAAGTTAAAAATATACGTAGATAAATACACATATTTTAGAATATTTAGAATAACATAACGTCCTGGTTATGATTTCTATACAGAAAGTCACAGTGAAAATTCATAATTTTTCCACAACCGAAAATCCATCCAACCCAATCCAGATTTCCGATTATCCAATCAAACCAATCCATAATTTTTCCAGAACCAAAAATCCATCCAATCCAATCCAGATCTCTGATTATCCAATCCAATCCATATCCGTGGATTGGATTGGATTCCAAATTAATTGGATAAAATGGATAGCCATTTCACCTCTAGGGTGGTTGACTGATAAGAGAATGGTTACCTTAAATTATTGGTGGTTATATCTGTACGTTAACCGTTAAGATAATTATGATATGTATATTGTTATTCAATAATCCCATAGTCATTAAACTGTTGAGACATATGCAATGTGCATGATAATTAAGCGATTTGCTATTCACAAAGATGTAGCAATGCATATCTAAGTTTTCTATTTTATTAATTCTATACTGCGAAAGTATCATGAATCGGAAAGTTACACTTCACACCATCTCATTGTAAGTTATTAAGAAGGACCTATCGCATTGCACTACATCCTACCCGTCGGATTATTATGAGTATAAAACTCATCGTACTTTTAAGTCCACATCATGATCAATTCGTCTCAAGTCTCTAGACTAATAAAGCGTATGACTGATAAAATCAAATTTTCTGAGAAATTTAGCCTGAAACATTATGAATATGTGAGAGTGCCTAAACCATTTATATGAGAGCTAAAGAACAAATTTGGCTATCTAATTTAAAAGTGTTAGCATGGTATCACATAAAAGCTGCCAAGTTCCGTTAGAGAGAGAAACACATATTCTTCATTCGGAATGAAGAACATGTGTCCATAATACGCATCCCTGCACTCAACGTTTCTGCAGATAACTTAACTATATTTATATCATGCAAGGAACAAGGGCTAGATAGAAGTAGAACCTTCTCACACTTATCATAAATCTGAACATGAAAAAATATTTGGAGTGTGATCATCTTTTTCCTTTTTTTTTTGTTAATTTGTAAATGGTGAACGTTTACAAACAACAAGGAAATTTACCGTTGACTTCAATACTCAATTCATATTCTAGATAACTTCCAAATCCATCGATTTTAACGATATTTCCTGCCTCTCTTTTATCCATGTAAACATGTATAAACACAAAGATCGAGCTTTGCATGGAGTTACTAGTTTTCAGTACGTGACATGAGAAATAAGAGAACGATAAACAGAGTTGCTAAAATATTTACATTGCACACTCGCATAATTCATGTACCACCTACTTACGTTAATACGTATGTGATCCACTACGCAGACTTTTTACTGAGAATGGCACTTCTAACGTCACGAGATTTACGTTTATCAACGTTTTCGTAACGTTATCATCATGCACACAGTCGTGATTTTTGTGCAAAGAAAATATACCAGGTGTGATGAGAATTTTTTTGTATCCTTCCTTTACCATTCTGCAGTTCCAGTTCAATCAAGCAGCAGAGCTTTAGTTACTAACTAAAGATTTATATAATGTCTGAACAACCGTAAGTCAACTCATAAACAACTGGTACATTTATTCTGTAATTTTTTTTAATTTCAAATTTTATGGGTTTTTCCATCCAAATAAATAATAGGGCATGACTCGTATATTTGCTAGGCTACATATTGGAGTTCAGAATTAAATCATGGTTTAGTTTTAAAAAATCGTACGTAGATCTTGTACATAAATTTTTGCAACATTTGTTTTTAAGTTCGCACTATGTTACAATGTAACAATAGCGTCCTATTCAACATTGTATCTACATAATTTAGGAAATATATGCGAAATAATTTTGCGAAATAGAAATATGTAAATCGAATGGGCAAAATTGTGAAAATAAATTTATCTGTCTTTTAAAAAAAGGAAATTTCGCTTATCTTTAAATGTGCAAAGTTAAGGCGTACAAATGCATGAATCGATTTCTATCTGAATTTATTTTGATTTAATAAATCCTGTCCTAGTTTTTGCAGACAAGGAGAACCATCCCAGTTCAAAAGTGTGCTAAACGCTGTTCCAATACGTCCTCTTGGAAGCCACGTAACAGCCAGAATGGATAGGCACGGTGCCATTAAATCGGACAAAAATCAGGTTGGGGACCTATGCATATTTTTATATTTTTTTCCATTAAGTTGGTCAACCTGAATACTGATGTGAGCCTTCACCGCAAATGACTCCAAAAATTATCTACTAAATGATAAAAATGTTGTGGCCAATTTTTTGCGAGCTTTCGCGAAATAATTTTGCGAAATGAATAATTCCCACTTCTTACGCACTTAAAGATAATTACTTATTTTCGCAGTAGCTGATTTGCGAAAAAATCGCACTGTTGTCCTCAATAAGGTTGCGAAAAGTCGTAAAGAGTTGTAAATAATGCTATTTACAACGTTAATTATTTGTGGCATATTTGTGGAATATGCGGAGTACTCACTATAGTGAGTACTCTAATTATTACACGAATCCCGTTTCTTGAAAAGAAAATTGAAGGCAAAACTCTATTTATTTACCCCAACCCCAAAACAGACAAGATTTACTAAATTTGCTACCCTTTTTTTTACCTCAGACATGTTCCACATTCGACGAGATGAATCTCAACGAGAATCTGCTGCGCGGGATCTACGCGGCTCGTTTTGAAAAACCATGGGCCCTCCAACGCCGCGCCATCATGCCGTGCCTCACTGGGTGCGACGTGATTGTTGCAGCGCAAGCAGGAGCCGGAAAGACGGCCACGTTCTTGATCGCAATTCTTCAAAATATTGTCCCAGATGTCTCTCAATGTCAAGCGCTTATTCTCACGCCAACTCGCGAGGTGGCGCAACGTGTAGAGGCGGACGCTTTGGCCCTTGGTGTCTACCTGAACGTTTCTTGTCGCGTATGCGTCGGAGGAACGGCTATCCGCGAGGACCAGCGAACATTGGAAAGCGGTGTCCAAATCGTGATTGGAACCCCGGGTCGTGTCTACAATATGATCGATCGAGGCTCTTTGAAGATTGATCACATCAAAATGTTCGTTCTTGATGAGGCTGATGAAATCATGTCGCGTGGGACTGTTCGCAACATTGTTAATGCGCGTATTTTTTAATTTTTTAATTTAGCAAAATTATTTCGTGAACTATACCAATTTTTCGGGTTACTATTAACCATATAAATTGCCTCTTTCCTTGGTCACGAACATGAGCGTTCTCGTTTGAAAATTGTGCTCGTAAATTTATGTGGATACACTGCAAATAATCTGGTAATAAACATTACCGAAAAGTACTAATATAGAACTTTGCCAAAGTGGTAATATGAGTTGTACCGTATGGTAATGGCTTGGTAGTACAGTTTTACCATAATGGTGACAAATCTTTACTACCTGCTAAAATATTATTACCAAATTTATTACCGACAAACCATTACCTGCGTTACTTTACCGGATTATTAAGAGTGTACGAATTCAAAAATTGAGACGTGAATTTCCCCACAGCTTAATTTAGTTTTTTACCAATTTACGTATGTCATTATTTAAATTAATTTAACCATTATTTTCTACCTAGTTAGTCCATGTGATTAGTAGTGATGCACAAAAGCTTCTGTTCTCATGCACTGTGCCCCTCGAGCTGTACGAGGTGGCGTCCAACTTTATGCGTGATCCTGTAAAAATTAGCATCACGTGGGAGGAGCTGATTCTTAACAGGGTGACGCAGTATTACGTCAGCGTGGAAAAAAAGGAGTTGAAGTTGGACACAGTGTGTGACCTCTATGACACGCTGTCTCACAAGCAGAACGTAATTTTCTGCAACTCCCCAGCGATGGTGGACTGGCTGGCGGGTCAGATGAGAGAGAAGGGCCGCACAGTATCATCCACGGTGAGTAGATACATTAAACTGGTTAAGAAGGAATACTTGGTTGTAAAAGTATCGATGTATCACAATCCATGATTGTGTATGTTTGAGGTTCGGCTAAAGAATACCTGTTCACTTTCATTCATGAGTAACAATAATGAAAACCGGAATCACTTCACAAAATAAAAATTTGATTTTGATAAGATTCTCAGCGTTTGTAGAGCTGATTTTTATGAGTTCAACGACACCAATAATTTAGAATTACTCCGCCCCCTCGCTGAGTGGGAGGAGCCCAAAGTTGGAAAAATTCGCTCCGTCTGCGATTTTTAGCGCAATGGAGGGTCAATATTTTTTTAATCACTTTTCACCAAAAATTCCCTAATTTTGTTCCCTACAACCGTTTTCGACCGTTCTCTGAAATTCTTCAAGGAACTTTTATGATTTGGACCTTAAAGGTAAAAAAGGTCAAATCTCATATTACCCCATAAGTGGGGTATCGTTGGAAAGATCTCGGCGGGGGAATTTGGAATATATATACTTTGTCTGGTGTTTGACCACTCCCTGATGTTCCAGACACAGCAGACTATTTTTGAGTTCTTGCCTATCTACCGCTATGTTAAATTCTGGATGCACAAAATCGTGACATTCGCTTTGCGAATTTAAAAAACGATCGGAAACGGTTGTAGGGAACAAAATTAGGAAACGTTTGCTGAAAACCAATTTCAAAAATATTGGCCCGCCTTTGCGCTAAAAATCGCAGACGGAGCGATTTTTTCCAACTCTGAGCTCCTCCCACTCAACGACGGGGCGGATTAATTCCAAATTATTAATGCCGTTGAACTCATAAAAATCAGCTCTACAAACGCTTAGAATCTTATCAAAATCAAATTTTTTTTGTGAAGTGATTCAGGTTTTCATTATTATTACTCTCATTTGAGTTATTATGATGGTGAGTGATTTTGAATGAAAATGAATTTCCTGTGAGTTGAACGAAAATTAGTGAAAGATTCAGTCATTTCAGATGAATGACTGCGATTGAAAGATTTCTCACTCATTTCATTGTTTGCCCTATGCTCAATACATGGGTCGAAGTACCAATAATGTCAAATGAAATGAAGTTGAAAGAAAATGACTGAATGTCTAGGAAACTCGTAAATCAGAAAGAGTGATGACTGACTTTTGAATGAAAACTAAATTTTTGAACAGGTATCGGCTAGAGTATTGGAAGGAAAGACGGTAATTGTGGATTTTTTTTTTGCATTCTCACAAGGGAACCTTAAGTACTGTCACCTCTCGATTTCCTTCGGAATAACCTTAATCAACAGATAATTTAGTGAAACTAAAACTTTGTCATAGAACATGCGGTGCAAAATCGCGTTTTCGCGAAATATTTGGCGAGAGCTGCACCAAAACCTGCATTTTCCCAATGCTTTTAACATAGCCCCAGCCTTTCGATTGATGAAATGAACTTTATAGAATCTTAATAAATTATATTTGTACCTGTCCGCGTAATTTCAGCCCGATCACGAATATGCACAAAATGATGCAAAGATTCGCAAATTTTTTGCAAATTGCGAAAATCTGAAAACTTTCGTAAATTTTGAATTTCTTCGTTTTTTTAAATTCAAGAAATTTATCAGCTTAACTGATATAAAATATATTTTTCTTATTGCAAAAAATTTGCAAAAATTTGCAAAAACTGAAATTCGCAATTTGCATGAAAATAAGTTAAATAACCAATGCTAGTCTATTTTTACGCATTTTTCTAAATTATTTGCGGTATTTATTGTTGCAAGTTGCAAAAACTTAAAGTGTGTGCAATTTTTTAATTCAATATGTAGAATTTTTTGCAATGCTTGCATATTTTAATTGTTCAACGAATTTGTTTTTCCTTTATTCGCTCATACCTACATATATGAAAATTTTTGAGTTTCTAGAAAAAGCAAAAGTTAAAAATTCTAAGCTTCAATTTTTGCAAATTTTTTGCAATAAGAAAAATATATTTTATATCAGTTAAGCTGATAAATTTGTTGAATTTAAAAAAACGAAGAAATTCAAAATTTGCTAAAGTTTTCAGATTTTCGCAATTTGCAAAAAATTTGCGAATCTTTGCATCATTTTGTGCATATTAGTGATCGGCTGAAATTACGCGGACAGGTACAAATATAATTTATTAAGATTCTATAAAATTCATTTCATCATTCGAAAGGCTGGTGGCTATGTTAAAAGCATTGGGAAAATGGCAGGTTTTGGTGCAGCTCTCGCTAAATATTTCGCGAAAACGCGATTTTGCACCGCATGTTCTATAACAAAGTTTTAGTTTCACTAAATTATCTGTCGATTAAGGCTATTCCGAAGGAAATCGAGAGGTGACAGTACTTAAGGTTCCCTTGTCAGCCCGGCGAAATGGATGAGAAAGATCGGGAAATCGTCTTTGCGGACTTTCGCTCTGGATCATCCCGCGTCTTGGTCACGACGGATTTATTTGCGCGAAATATTGACCTTCCAGAACCACCGATCCTAATCAATTACGATTTACCAACAAATCGTGACAGCTACGTCGAGCGGTGCTCATTCATACATAGAATTGGCATAGCTTATAAATTTTATGTGATAATTAAAAATTTAATTAAAAGTTAAAAGTCCCCAAATCGCTCATTGTAAGTAGGATTATAAATCCCAAGAACATATACACATACATATTTTTTATTATGCATGGTTACTACTAAGGAGGGTAATTTTTTGATAGATTTTTCATAAGTTCGAGTTTACAAGATTTTGAAGTCGCTAAGAAAACCGATGTTTGCAAAACGTAACTGATAAATTATTAGATATGATTTATAAGTCATGCCAACCTTGGTCTCTAATAGCTACATATTATGGATACAAATTGAGATTTCGCAGCGCAGCGGATATTGAGAAAAAATTGCGACGTCAAAAAACATTGAGGATTCAAAAATTCGCAAATACTTCACTTGCAAATAAATCCCATTCTAATTATATTCTTGGTTTTCTAATTGATATATTTTCTTTTGTTCAAGAATTTGTCACCATGTCCAATTCCGTGGAAAAGGCGTCGCCATCAGTTTCATAACTGACGGAGATTACGACACCATGAAATCCATTGAGGACTTCTACCACACAAAATTCATCGAAATGCCGACCAGTGTAGCCGACATTTTCTATTGTACTCAAAGGAATCTTTTAACCAACTTCAAGCCAAATATATTTGAAAAGAAGCCTTATAAAAACTAAAAAAACAATTTGACGATGAATTAGATAAGAGAGAAGATAAATTATCTGTAATCTAGGTGTATAAATGTTTCAATATATTGATAAACATGGATTTTATTATTTGTAATTGCATTCAATTTGAAAGTTTCGACTACTTAATTTTTAAAATATTCTAAACGTATTTGATAGTGATATTCATTTGCTTATATGAACGACCAGTCGGTAATAAGGTATGTAACTACTGATCGGTTTCACAAGTTTTTAATTTACATTCCCTATCATCCCAATTCATTTGTATCCAAGGATGTGCTGAGATTTTACAACCATTTTGTACTCATGTTCTCAAATTAAGCCTTTTCATGATTCATTGACCTAATATATGTACATGTCGCCTTCTCAATTATACGAATATTTTCTTATTTTTATGCGTGCTTCTCAGTTTTAACTTTACTAATTGTATGATTTGACAACTACCCAATCTGATTTTATCACACTAGCGTACGAGCCCGTCTCCCGCCGGGCGAGAGTGGATTTCGTTTTTAAAATTTCATTCAATTCTATATTCTTGTATCAATATTTATTTATTGGCTAAAACTCGTTGATGCAAACGGAAGTGTATTTGTAACTAATATTGCTCAGGCAAGTAATAATCAGAATCAAGACGCAATATTCCGAAAACACCATGGGGCATATGATCCAGTGACACCATAATTTCTCATACATAATTACTATCTTAAATTTCGATTGAATCGAATTCGAATTTACGCACCGTGCGAAACTTAATTTTCTCCACTTTTACTTCCGTTTCGGAAAATTAATTTCACTTCCGTTGCAGACTAACATTTCCAGCTTATAATATAAGAAAGATAATCATAATTCAATTAACATTCAAATTTTTTTTTCATAATTATCTTTGGAATCTCAGCATCGTTCTTAAACTGATTAAATAATTTATAATGTTCACAATGAGTATGAAAAAGATTTCACGAATTTCAATTGCAAATACTAAACTCGCCCCCAAAGTTATCCCCCCGCATAGAATGAACAGTGTTAACAGTGCCCCGCGTAATTCAACTGCTGGTGCTGACTCTTTTATTTCAAACTTTCTGATTGGTTTGCGATGTAAATATTTCTGCCGCTCTTCCTCCTCACTCAGTCGTCCGTATATTCCATTCTCAATCAAATCTTGAAATGTTTTAGGAACGTTTGATTCCCCTTTGAGGGAAAATCTCCAACCATAATTTTCCATTTGCAGGATTTCCTGACCCTTAAAAAACTTCTTGGAAGAATAATATCTATCCAGGAATTGCAGTTCGGCCTCAATATTTTCCGAATCTGCAATGTAGACTGACTTCCCACAATGCACTATCTCGTCCTCGACACTATTTTGTATTTGAAGACGCATCTGATTTTTGTCAGAATGCTTAAAATTTTTCGGATAATGATTGTGCCTCGGATCAAGCAAGCTGACTAGGTTTATGGACCTTTGGCTCACAGTTTGCGCCTCCCGTTCCTTTGTAAATATCTCCCAAGTATAGGAAGCTAAATAACTAAGGAAATCTGGAATGTCGGAAAATCCAGAAATATAACCGCGTGGTAAGGAAAGTAATTTAAAGCATTTATCTGATACAAAAGGGTTATCAAGTTCTTGAATTCGGACATACTCATTCCAAAAATAGTCGACGTCCTCCACGAAATTTTTTTCTAGAAGGTACAACATCCTCAAATACCATTCAATCCTGTCACTACCGAACTTACGAGATGCTTCTGGTGGGTGTAGTAGCATTGAATAGTTTTGGTCTCTCATGCTAAGAAAAGATTTCGTAAAATGCTTGAAGTTTGCGGGAAGTTTTGCTATATCTGTCTTGTCTACAGTGTCGCATATGACGTCTTCAAATGCTGTTGGGCGATTGGCCTCAAGTGGTGAGTTAAGTTCTGATATCATAATCCCATTGTAGCAATTTGTCAAAATTACAGAGACAAGACACCATGATCCAAACACCACTCGGAAGAACGAGTCTAGCTCAATTTTTTTAGGAAGGTGACCACACTCTTCAAAAATAGTGGCGAGAATGAATAACCAGGGGGGAAATGAGATGTTGCTCAATTCGCGTTAATATTTATACGCTGATGTAATTATTATAATAGAGGTTAGCGAGATTATCAGCCACACCCATAAAATTTTCTTAAATGGTGTAATATAAAATTTAAAGGAAATATACTCATCACGATAACAACTTAGAAATTGATGCCCCGAAGTCTTAGTAATTACCACGATGGTAGTTACAAAATAAATGTTGGGTAGAGTATCAACCATGAAATAGTAATAGTAGCTGGCGCAAATCTCATCAAAAACGATTGTCTCATTTGCTGAGACAAAAACCATTTTCAAAATATTTCCTAACCGTGACTTCGAATCCATGGGATTAAATGGATTTTTATCTGTATCCACGTCTTTCTTAATTTCTAGTGAATTTTCTCCTCTGTAGCACCATCCTGGTGAAAGGGTTGCAATATTTTGATAAATATCTGATACTTTCCGTTTCCACTTAATTTCTGGTTCCACATTACATATAAATTTATTATTTAGCGAAGAAACTATATAACCATCACTCCACGACGAAGCAGACCATGCGCAAATTTCGACTTGTCCATCGATTGATATAAAAACTACGGAAATTTTGTAATGTTGATGAACCGCAAAGAATACATGCCTTAAGTTTTTCTTGGAATTCTGCACAGTGACAAATGTCATTACAACATCGTTGCATTGGATATTCCTTACATAATTATGATCAGCAAATTCGGACAATATGTCCGTATAATGAAACAGGCCTGAGTTTACTGTATAAATCCAGTCATCCAAATTTAAATTTCTGTTCACATTGGTTTCGCCAACTTCCAGAAAAGGCGTTGATATGAAGATCGCTAATTTGTAATGTGAATTCGCTCGTGACTTGAACACATCGATACTCAGGTGATGAATAGTATCCCTGCTAAATGTGTACGTGTTCACAATTTTTATTGGCACATTTACGTTGAACCAATCGATATTACTGGGCGTACCGTCATGTAATATTTGAATGTTATAAGGAATCAGATTTTCCAGGACAATTTCAAATACTGGAAGGATATCAGTCCCTAGGATTTTGCAATTTGCCCCAATAACCGAGAGGAATATAATAATAGAAAAGAAATATGGAATTCTGGCCATTTTTGTGTTTCAAATTAGTCCAACAATAAAATTCCGTTAGTTTTATCAGCAGAATATAACAAAGAGTTTGATTGAGATATTGGAATGGATCCTTGTTTGGAATCACTATGTTCTGTATAATGTTAATATAGTACAGCGGACACATACTTAATTTTCATAAAATACACGATACGTTAATTTTTGACAACTTTAGAAGACCAATTGTTTAAATATGGTGTGGTTTGGTATCAGTATTATCGACTAGGTTAAGAATTTGGTTAAACGACAAGCAGAAACTTTTTTCGACTATGACACGTAGGTGTCTGTAGTTTCAAGGTGACATTACTTTGCGTTGAATAGTAAATATCATAATTACATTTTCAATCATTTTAGATAAGAGTATCGTTAATTAGCTATATCACATTAAGGAATATCGACAGTTTTTTCACAAATGTTGGGTGTGTATCACGAGTAACATAGAGGCGACCCAAAACTGCCTAGGCACCTTTGTAATGACGTAATATATGAAGGAGAAATTGTGAACATGCGTTCGCTTCATTCTTGTCATTACATGCAGTTTTTTCCGTATATTTTTTTCTTAAACCCCCCTGCCAATTACGAATCCCGATGTAACTTGTCCCCCCCAACAATTACTGAAATTTTGTCCTGTTATGGGTCAATAATGCACAACAATAAACACAAGTGAAATTATACTACCAAAAAATTGTTTTATTTCAGAATAAGCTGACTAGTTGGCAAGAACAATAACAAACACATTTCATAATATAAGTGTAAAATAACAAATAAATATACCAAATAATCTATATAGTTCTGGCGACAAATAAAATTAGAATGTTGAATGATGACGGCAGGACAACGATAGCTTGTGGTTCCTACATTTTTTCTACTAGTAAACTTGTCTAATTTCAATACAAATAATTTACAGTGTGTACGTTACAAGTATTTACAAAAGTATGCAGTACATATTTAGCTTGTGAATCTACGATCTTCATTAGTAGGTGTTGAAGCTTTTTTGTAAATAAAAATTAGTGAAAAACATGCATGTACGTATGCATTTATTATTATTAACTGAGATCAAAAACTAAAATAGCTTATAATAAATAATACATAATGATATATAAATAAGTCGGTACGTAATAAGAATAAGAATTTATAATTATAACTATTTAAAATTTTTTATTTTATTATTATTATTTTTTAAATTTGTTCAATAACTTTTAATTCTAGTCTAATAAGAATTTATGTATGCAGACATTTGGCAAAGCATGGCAATAGTTGATCCTAAGCTAGCATACTATTGAAGATAAATTGATTTACTTATGTGTACCAATTAAATTTAGTTTAAATTTCCCTAATTATCGAGATCCTCAAATGCAAGTATTTAGGCGATATGGAATTGTTTGTTGGAAAATAAGTTTAAAATAAGATGTTAATATACAAAATATTGTATTTCTGTCTACAAACTAAATTAGAATGTAGAATGATGACGGCAGGATAACGATCGCTTTTGGTTACCAATTTCTATTTGTAAACTTGTATAATTTAAATATAAATAATGTAGTGCGTATGTCACAAGTATACTTGTGACATATATGTACAAAAGTGTACATACATATGTATTTAACTTTAGTGGCGTTAAGCAGTGTTGAGCTTTTTTTAAAAAATCATGTACGTGCGTACATATGTATGTACATATATTTATCTATGTATTAATTATATACAATTCTTAATCTTCACGAATAGTCAGAAATAAAAACGATACCTTTAATTATTTGCGATGAAACATTAAGATAATCTTATAATAAATAGAATATGATTTGTAATAAGACATTATAAAAAGCATTTTATAAGAATTAGAGTGTATAATTGTAACTATTTAAAACTTTTATCTTTTAATTTAGGTTTTGAATTTTTTAACTAACTCTTAATTTTAATTTTGTAAGATTTTATGTAGGCAAAAATTTTATAGAAGCAGCATCGCAATATTTGACTAATCCTAACCTAGCATACTAAATATTTATTGAAGATAATTTGATCTATTTATGTGTATGTATGAATTAAATTTAGTTTAAATTTCCATAATAATCTAGATTCTAAAATGCAAATGTCTAATTACGCACTTTTTAATTATCTAAGCGATGTGGATTTTTCATGTGTAAAATGCAAGATGTACATGTGCAAACTCAGAATATTAGTTTTTCGCCTAAGCTAAGCAATGTGTGTACTAAACAACTTACATAAATACATCCATAAATTTGGGTTTTCCATAGCAGTAGCGACAATTAGAAGCCTAGATATACGAGCATGGCATTAATAACTACGAAAAGCATACGCGCCAAAGATGCTTACGATCTGCCATAATTTGCATAATAAATGAAGAGTAATTACACACACCTGTTTAGCTTCATTCATTTGTCTAATAAATAAGATTAGTAATTATGATAGTGAATGAGAATCCAAATCTTGTCATTTAAATCAAAATGAAAAACTGATGGATTCCGTCGTTTCACACGAATGACCGTGAGTGAAAGGATTTTTCACCCCTATCATTTCTCACAATTCACCCTATGCTTAGTACATGGGGTGAAGTAAGAAACGAAGTCAGATGACGTCAAAACTTCAATGGAAATGACTGAATGTGACTCAAAATCCTTAGTCATAAATCGAGATGACTGACGTTTGAATCAGATCTAAATTTTTGAACAGTTACACATGACAACAATCTCAGCTTAAAAAAACAAATTATATTCGAAAAAAATCTACTTTAATACCGAGTTAAAAATCTTAACCACCAATTTGGTTGAAGAACTAATGAAAAACAAATAATTGTACCGAGTAGATTTATCAAACGTTTTGTCGTGTTACACGCCTATGCGATATATGTAAATATGTAAACGGGGTGAAAATCTAAAGTCTAAATATGCTAAATATTTGCACATGTTTAATTGTAATAGTAAGTTAGAAGCATTGTTTTGGAGATGGAATTATGTAATACCTTAGGTAACGGAAAATACGAAACTTTCACACGCACATACATACATGCCTATCTATGTAGCTTTTACTTATTTTCATCGTTCATCATGAAATTGTATCATTAAAGAATTTGAATTTTGATTATGTTTATTGTTTACTATTTTAAAATTATTGGTTTAAACCTTGATTTAAGTATGCATTTATTTATCTATCTGAGATGATAACTACATGAGATTATATAAGATAAACGCACCAGAGATAATCCAATATTTGATTGGGAATCTACTTTCTAATTACAATACGAGCACTCCTTTGCCCATAGCTTGTATCATTTGTTGTATGCGTTTAAGTAATTTAGTGTATTTTATAATTTACTATTTAATTTTTATATCCTGAAGAAACTACAACCAAATGCAAAGCTGGTCGCGTTCCATCAAAATGACAAGTCAGCATTTGGTGTGACATGCTTTCTTTGACTATATAATTAAAGAATTCGCAAAGTGGAAAGCCTCCTTACACATGTTTTTGTACACGATAAGCACAGTAAAATTCGTATTTAAATTTTGAGTCGTGCATACATTATTTGTGTAATCTAATTAAATTTGTATTTTAACTTTAAAAATATTTTGACACGTGCGTGATGTATTTTTCGACTATCATACATATGTACATATGTACCCTACACGAGTGAATCTAGCCCAAAGAGTCGTTAATTATGAAACTATGTAATGCACAAATCGCAATTTTCTAGACTAACCTCCCTCCCCTTTTAACATACATCACCTCCCCGCCTGAACAGTCTTGCGTATAGTAAATTACTTTAAGGAATTTACTAAACGGCTTTTAATAAGCATTCCCTATTAATCCATGATTATGGTGAAATTAAATTAGATATTATCAAATTATTTTTATACAGCCTGATGAAAACTCTGAAACCGGTCGCTGTTAATTTAAAGGAATAATAAAAAAATATCTCCCATCAGTTTATAGTGTTTTTTTATCCCACAATGTGCACACGTTCTAATATAAATCTGTACGTATTTCTGCATATGTCAATTTCGAATTGCGAAGTTTACGTATTAGTGCAATATTAATTTTATTATATGTACATGACCGTGCAAAATGTTGATCTAAATCTATTCGAGATCGCATTCATAAGCTCTTAACTAATAAGCAGAAACTAATGCAGATTATTCAACGAATGGCACAACCTGGGTTCGTCTGGGACGCCCCATCCATTCCATAACGAAGCCCACAAGGGCCACCAACTTCCTCCAAATCCAGCGAATCAGCCACATCACGACGGGAATAATGACGAAGGTCATCATTCGGACGAACGTCTTCGCCAATGCGGGCATCGTCCAACCACCAGCTATCCCGGCATTACCACCAACAAAGCCTAGAGAGGCGAAACACTCTTAAAAATAAGTCTACACAATTGAAAAGTACATAAGCAAATGCACTTTCAATATTCATTACACTGTGTACACTAAATCTAGAGTGAAGCGAACTGTTAGTCAAGTTAATGTTACTCTAGATTTTGGTTAGTTTACTTAATTCAGAATGAGTTTACTTTTCAAAAGGGTAGCATTATTTTTTAGAGTGTTACATGCACAATTGAATGAAGTTCGAAAGTACATAACTCAACAACCTACCAACAGCTTCTGTTGCGCTGTACGTAAGTTTGCGTCGCTCTCCCAAAACTTTCTTGGTTGCCATGTAAACATGCACGACAGAAATCTGAGTGGTGTTGCTAAATAGTAATAAAATATGCTTTTTACACAGGCTTCATAATAAAACAACACCAACAGGAATAAAATATTTACCTCAGTTTCATGTTTTCAATGATTTGATCTTGATATTCCACATCAATTGGGATTTGTGACTCCAATTGGGCAGTGTAAGTAATGCTAACGCAATCGCTGAGACATTTTTCGCACACTGTTTCAAGCCCAATGTCATAAATCGCCGCTTTTGAAAATAAAGATACTAAATATACACACAGAAACTGGTGGTTAGTTATAGTGCACATGGATATGTATTAAAGTTGAGTCGGATAACGTTTTCAGAAACCCGGTACTATCAGCATTTTGCATTACCAAAAATGTCCTACCTGATCAGTTTTTAGCCCGAACCAGGGCTCATGTAATTGTCATGTCCGTCGGTCTGTCCGTCCGTCCGTCTTTCGATAACTCTCGAACGAGTTGGCCGATTGACTTGAAATTTTTAGCATATGTACATATTTATACTTGGCAAAGTTAGGAAACGAGTTCGAAGATGGGCTAAATGGTTGACATGGTCAAGTGGTTGACCTGTGGGGGTCATCGGAGTGGGTGGGGGCTTGTGCACCAAAATTTCAAAATTGTCGTAGAAAGCTGAAATTTGGCACAGACGTTGCTAGTGGCTCCTAATAGATAAATATGAGTTCGAGTTGGAAAAATTTTGATCTTGAGAGACCCTAGGCGGTCACCCATACGGATTTTTCAAATTCGTCATATCGAGCTGAAATTTAGTAGAGAGGTTGCTTATGGGTCCTAATGGAAGAATATGACATGAAATTGGTAAAATTTTTATCTAGAGCGACCCTATGGGGTGACCCACACCGATTTTTAGAAATTAACATAGAAAGCTGAAATTTGGACTAGAGATCCTTATTGCTTTCTCATGAAATATTATGAAGTGAAATATGAACAAAAATTAACTGGAGGGGCTATAGAGGCAATCTCCACTGGAAGTAGCAAGTGTAAGGGATTGTAAATATTTTTCGAATTTTGAGCCTAGTAATACGAAGGATTGATGTACTTAATGCAAAAATTAGTGTATTATGTAAAATAGTAGCACATAATTTTATAGAAAACTACGGACAAACATGGGTTCACTAATCCTGGTTCGGGCTAAGCAAAGCTTTACTGATAGGTTGTGTTATTTAGAATGGGCGATCCAACAGGTCCGGGCCATTGATTATTATATACAGTGTCGGACAGATGTCTACGTCCACATAGTCGCGTCAATTTCATTTTCAAATTGTCACTGAACTACTGAACCAATTTTCATTATTGATATATCAAATTCTCACAAATTTAACGTAATTTCATAGCACATTATTAGTTTTCCGCTAAAAAATTTATTTTAGGCCAGAGATGTATTTTAATTCAAAATGAAAACAATTGGATGGACAAAAGTCAACGTCCAGTCAGAGAAAACATACAAAAAAAACTGTAATTTATAAGGAATGTTATAACAATTAATTTTTAATATTTGGTTGGGCCTCCGTTCGCTTTAAGGACGGCTTCAAGGCGTCGAGTCATTGAGTTTACCAAATTCTTGGTCACATCTTCAGAAATGGTTTCCCAAACTTCACGAATTCTGGATTTAAGGCCCGGAATTCCTGAAAAAGATTGTTTTCTTATTTCTCTTTCAATGTGGTCGCACAGATGCTCAATGGGATTCAAGTCTGGAGATTGGGGAGGCCATTCTAGCTTCGGAATTTTTTTTTCTTGAAGTATTCCATGGTGGACTTGGCAGAGTGTTTCGGATCGTTGTCTTGTTGGAAGGCAAATCGTCGTCCAAGTCCAAGTTTTCGAACAGATTCCTGGATATTACGGTCAAGTATTCCCTGGTACTTGTATTGGTCCATAATTCCGTCAACAAATTCCATTTTTCCTGCCCCACTTGAAGCCATGCATCCCCACACCATTACCGACCCGCCGCCGTGCTTAACTGTGGGGTTGAGATTTTTTGGATTCAAAGCTTCTTTTGGATATCTCCACACTCTACGACGCCCATCTGACCCAAAGACATTGAACTTTGACTCGTCAGTCCATAAAATATGTCCTAGAATGTTTGTGGCTTGGAAATGTGGTCTCTGGCAAACTTCACTCGTTTGGTTGCATTCCTCGGTACAATAAGAGGCTTCCGGACTGCTCTGTGGGATTTCAAATTTCCCTTATTCAGTGTTCTTTGGATGGTCATAGGACTAACCTGTTTGCCGAACATCTCCTTGATCTCGGTAGATAGCTTTGGAGCACTAAGTGAGGGTGTAACGTTGACTTTGTTGAGCACGTGGCGTACTTCTCGGTGAGCCAAAATGGGTTTTCGACCACTTCTGACCTTGTTTTGGACTGAACCATTAGCTTTAAAGTTCTTAATGATTGTCTGGATGGTTGTCCTTGCTAATTTATACTTGGTCCATATTTGTCTCTGCGACAGCCCCCTTTTTGTCCACCCTTCCAGTCCTGAATGACAAGATCTCGAATAGCGATAGGAATTTCCTTGCGTGTCGACGCCATCATATTTTTCTGGAAGAAAATTATTTAAAAATTAATGCGGCATATGTTATTGATAGATTTATTAAGTTACCTGATTTTATAAATTAGAGAGATTTTTGTTGTTGACAATTAAAGTGAAGTGGACGTAGACTTTTGTCCGCTCAAATTTCATCCTCTCTCGCTCTGCACTATGATTCTCAGTTTTCCCAGAATTTTCAGAAATAACTCATATGTTTTATGAAATTACGTTAAATTTGTGAGAATTTGATATATCAATGATGAAAATTGGATCAGTAGTTCAGTGACAATTTGAAAATGAAATTGACGCGACTATGTGGACGTAGACATCTGTCCGACACTGTAATGGCAGCTCCGATACGAGAATTGGGATTTTCAACCAGCGATAGAGTTGAGTCGGATCGGAAATTCGATCCGACCATCCCCATTTTGTGGGTTTAAAAAAATTTCCTATCCGACTCGTTTATTAATTTAAAAACCCGAATTATCTAAAAAGGACGTATCCGGCTCAACTCTGGCACACATGCATGTATGTACATGGAATTAAATAAGTTGTGTAATAATTCTGATACCCTCGGTTGCATCGATGCACTCTAATATAGTTGGCATACAAAGTTTTTGGTCGGGACGACCTGTTTTTAAAGTTTACATATTATATCGAGACTAGAATAATTAGCAATACTTTGAGAAAGTCACCTGGCGATGCGAGCATTTTACAATGGCACTTGTCATAAATCTTGTCCGCAATGCATTCAAGGTGACATCGAGTTTGTGTATAATTTCGGTAATATGCTAGATTTGCTTGCTTGTGTTCATTTGAAAAGTAGCATCCTCGTGTTTTCTACGTAAATGTAAACCAAAATTTGCTCAAATCCATTTTATCAAAATATAAACTCAATTCAATAAGCTCAATTTCACCGGGTCCAAAAATTTGATGTCCTCGTCTGCTTGTATCACTGTCGGAATAATGGCAACAGAAAGTTCCATTCCAAAGGGAAGTTCTAGTCCGAATCGTCGAATGTCAGCAGCATCAATCGGGTTGTGAACAGACAACTGCATAAATAATTGGCAACGTAGCATACCGGAATGCTCACAAACGAATGAAAACTATGATTTTTGCCAGATTACCGTAAATCCAGTTCCGTCTTTCTGGCGACAAGCAAATTCTGCTTCATCAAATTTGACGAGGAATTTTAGTCCGGACGGTTTACCAGGCACCTTCTGTTTAAATGGTATTGGTGGAAAGACTCTGGTCGAGTTAGTTGTTTTTGGCGATACTGCATTGACATCAAAATCGAACTTCATCCATTCTTCCACAACATGGTTTGGAGGATCACCGGTTAACAATGTTGAAAGGCTTGCATTCCTACGTACATAATTTATACAATGATGGTTATCATTAAAGTCGTCCAAGTTAATGCGTGACTTACTGGCGGATCGTAAGTTCAGGAATTCCATTGAATGTGAATGCCCCACCAAGTTCGGTGAATGAGGCCAGGAACATGTTCCCGCAGGTGAAGTTTCTCCCACCCAAGCTACACGTGGACAACATTTCGCCTACCGTTGTTAAACCCTGCCATCAAAACCGTGATATTATATATAAACGCATGTAAATGTGTACATAATGCTTGGACGAGTAACTTTGTCAATAATCACACATATGCATATTGAGGGAGCCAATAGAGAGTTAGATTCCTTGTACTTCGACTGTAGACCCAGTTTGTACTACTGTAGAAAAATCAAGGGTTGGAAAGTAGGATATCGCCTGAACGCCTCAATATAATCAAGCGCCGTTTTCGCTATTTCGCTTCTAATTTTTAACCCTAGGTCGACTTCGAAAATGGTCAAGGTCGCCTTGGCGTGAAGCAAACGCAAAATTCTACCTTAATTTTCATAGGCTGTGTCCATTTAAAGAAATTTCACTAAGGACTCATCGTCGTCAACGCTTTTCACCTCCGACCAACCCATGACCGGGGATGAGGTCAAAGGTCAAAATTTAAGTTCCGGCTGTTTTAGACTCGGGTTTGGGCGAGAATTTCAGAAATTGACACAGTTTCAAAGTACGAAGACCCCGTGACCGCGTAGACCAGATCAAAGGTCAAAAATGTTGATTTCTTATTTCGACCGTTGCAGACGTAGTTTAAGGCGGGAAGTTCAGAAATCACTATCATTTCGGGTTTGGATTTTCCACTTTGTGGAAGGGGGTTCATTTCGTATATCGTGATGGATTTAGTTGATTTGTCTCAATTTTTGACTCATCTATTTCGCGGAGTTTTACAATACAATTTTTCAAAGTAGAAAATAATGGTAGTCTTTTTAATTTTGTACTAATTTTTGTATTGTACTGTAGCCACATTACAGTACAAGTAAAAATACAAAAAATCTCTAAGTCTCTAATGATTCCTCCGTATCTTCAGTATTTTTCCTAGTACAAAAGTTACACCGGTTATGAGATTTTTAAAGTCATACAAATTTGTCGTTATAAATTGCGTTATTAAAGTAACGATTTTTACGACGTTTCGTCAAGTCTTTTCACATTTTATCGTAAAATATTTTACGAAACTAAACAATACAATCGTGAACCTTCTTAGAATTTTACCTCCTTTAGAAACGGTGCAATTTTTCCACGGACATCATCATTGGTCGCATTATCTATTCCAGTTACGTTCATTCCGCCCAGGAAGAATTTGAGATACGCATATTTCTTCAAATTTGTACCTTCTCCAATTTCTTGCACAACTCCATTCTGCTTCAGGTGGGACTGGGTCCATTCACAAATTTGCGAGGCGTCAAATAACAATTCGGCTAAATTTGGGAATGTCCACGGCTTTTCGCTCTGAGCTTCTGATGCTTCTTCGTCATAAAATTTCTCGAAGAGTCTAGTTGTTTAAAAATAAATAAAGTAGTGGTTATATTAGCGGGGGAAGTGACTTGGAAGTCATGTGCCGTTAAAGCTTATTTACTGGAAATTAAAACAGCATATCTGTGCATGTTGAACATATAAATATGCAGAATAAATAATCACTTACTTTCGCATTTTTGGAAAGAATGAGTACTTCAAGCTTCCCGGGGCTAGGATTGTTGTTCCGGGGAAGATGATATTGCCGGTGTCTATTTCCTGTGGGTCGATCCTTATGGCGACCGGAGTTTGAATCGTGTCGCTCGTAGCCCAAATAATTAGAATGATTCCAAGGATTGTACAACAAATAGTCATCACCACATAAAATATTCTGAAAAATTCGATAAATATTTAGAACTCGGTAATTCAGGGGACCAAATTGTTCACCAGCAGCCTCATACATCAGCATTAGCCTTCGAATGTCTTGCAAATATATGTACTGTACTAGGCATGATTTCTTACCAAACTGATCCAGTCATAACAAGTCTTACCAAAATCAACTTTTTTACATTCTCTCTCAAAATAAAGGGTATAATGTGAACTTTCTCTGATGGAAACAGCTAAGAAAGGTGATTTTGTCAAAATTCTGGTCTTCCGTGTTTCGTTGTCTTTACCAAATTATTTTCAGAAAATTTTCTAAAATTGCAAAAATCAATATGATTTTTTGAACATTTTTTTTGTTTATGTTATTTTTCGAATTCGAGTTCAAAAAACTTTTGGTTTGGATTGTATAAAAAATGTCAATCTGTTGGTAGTTGTAGCATCCCGATATCTTTTTTCATCATCGAGAAATCATTTCCGGATTTTGCGACTTTCGGCCCCTCTTCTCTACCAAGCCACCGTTCTGCTCATCCTCAGAAAACTCAGCACACCAAATTGTGCAAAAAATTTACAAAATCAATTTTTTTGTGTCTCTAGAAATCTACTGCAGCGATTTCGCTACGGTCGAGGTCGAAGTACTGGCACCAAGTTCTTTCAATTACAAACAATACATACAAACAATCGCTAAAAAGCAGGAATCTTCCCGCTTACTACAAGGTCCTCCAGACGGATCTTGCAAGCAAAATTTTCGCTTTGTTGGCTCTCCGGTCAGAATGAATACGAACCGATGAGAGTATTTACTTCTTTCTAATTTTATGAAACAATAATTATTATTGCATTAACTAAATTTCACAAAATCTCTTATTAACTTGAATTGCTAAAATTTGCTTATTTAGTTGTTAGTCTGCAACTTTATGGGTAAATTTTTGTATCATTTTTATAAAAAAAATAATAAAATATGATGCGCATTAATGCGTGACATGTTATTTTGCAAATTTTGCTTAAAATTCGGAAATCATATTTTTACTTATCATAATTTACATATTTTTTATTATTTACATATCAAAAGATCATAATTCTTCTCATTTATCATTATTGTAATTAACAAAATCTCTTTTGGTTTTCCATTAGAGTAGAATTTATATTTGGCTAATAGAAAGAATTATTTGGATGAAATCAACCCCATTATTTGGGCCGAAAACGCACTCTAACTAAATGACCAAGCCTTAATCACAAATAGCCTACACTATATGTAGCATAGTAAAAGTTATGCTAAATTTACCCAAGGTTAAGTTAAAAAGAGGACCACAATAGAATTTATCCAATCGTTGTATTTATAAATTTTACCCAATTGTTTTGTGATCCTCTTTTTTTACTCAACCTTGTGCAAATTTAGCATAACTCTTATTTAGAGTGTATGTATTTGCTACTTTAGGGATGCTAAATATATGTACTACATAATAATTGTTGTGAGTGTTTACGCATATGCTTAAAAATTTTATTTCAATATTTGGACGTCATGATCATGAATATGATGCATTTCCTTTGTAGCCATTGTTCTTACCGATAATGTACTATTGTTATGTATATTGTGTTGAGCAAAGCCGGATATTCGTAAAATGTATGGTGAATGGGTACTCAATAAATGGCATATTTTACTTATCAGATCCATTATAGTTTGAATCGTAGAACTTGTAAAACCTTAACAAGGATTGTCTCAATCGTTTTTTGAAGTGGAAATTTCTTTGTAAGTAATACCTAAGTTGCATGCCCAGCAATCTTGACGCTCCATAATTACTAAGTTCCACGAGAAATAAAATTATTTCGTGAAATTACTAATTACAATTATCATTTGACAAAAAATTCCCAGCAAATGTAATTTCGGATTGTCTACATACATATAATTTCCAGCAATCTATTTGTCTACTGGCCAACTAACAAGGGAACATACCGAGGTGTCCAACGAGTTAAGGTCGACACCTATACCAAAATGACCACAACACATGACTTATTAAACAAACTGAAAGAATTTCCGTGTAAAATTCACTTTTCGTCACGTTGTGACGATATTTGTGACGAGCGCATGACCATCGGGTTTCCAGAGAGGGCGGGGGCAGAGATTGCGAATTCTTTCAAATTTTGAAACCAATTTTGAAATTTTGAGGAAATTTTGAAAACATTTTGAGATTTTGAAGAAATTTTGAAAAACTGTTTGAAATTTCGAAAATTTTTTGTAATTTTGAAACAATTAAGAAATTTAAAAAAATAGGTGTGTAAGTTATTTAAAATTTGAAATCTCTGAAGATAACATGTGTTCGATCTGATCGTTCAGCGGCCGATATACCCCACTGGCGACCGGATGGTCATGCGCTCGTCACAAATGTCGTCACACCGTGACGAAAAGTGAATTTTACACGGAAATTCCTTCAGTTTGTTTAACAAGTCATGTATTGTGGTCATTTTGGTATAGGTGTCGACCCTTAACTCGTTGGACACCTCGGTATGTTTCCTTGTAAGACGAAGTACATAGATCAACATTTTTTTCAGATCGTCTCAAATGAGATCGACTTTCAATTATTGGGTTTTGCTTTGGTTCACTGCCACCCTGGCTGTGGCGAGTACCGCGGATTACAGCAAATTAAAACTGCCCCCGACGCCCGTGTATTTGAAGGAATACGGAAAATTACGACCTGGTAAATCGGATAAGTACACAGGATGCATGTGTCCCCCCACCCTCAACACTGCAGGATCGGTCTATATGTTTTGCGGACATGAGATGTCGCCCAAAGTGGGAGGGACGTGCCACCCTCCAAGTGTCTATCGATGCGTTAATGGTCAAGCTGAAGCAATAATGGAGATGGATTGCAGTGTTGAATCGGTACGAGTCAATTGTTATTAAATATGTTCTAACAAAAGTGAAAAAATTATGATGAAAGACTACCCAAAAACGCGACGTGAATTGTTTGAAATTTTTCTGCAGCTATTTATATATGTATGTATTTGTATGTACATAAGGTTGCAATTATTTGTGCGCAAGACGCAAATTTATATCTAGCAAACAAGTAGGCAATGTGTGTATCTAAATATGTGGTCATTTGTATTTATGTCAGATTTCATTAAATCTGACTCGTTAGAAATAACAAAACCCATCCTGTCTTTATTAATGCAGTCCAAGCCTTACTTAAGTACACTGTTGGTCTCCCAATGTGGGTATTTAAATAGTGTCAATCAATTACAAATTTAATTGGGATAACATTTGCAAATGACACCATCTGTCAGTGCGCAGGTTTGGCGGAAATATTTGCATAAAAATAGAAAACGCGCAGTAAATTTGGAAAGTGTGAAATTTGTCAACTTTCGGGGGCAACATATGGTCTTTTTATGCAAATATGTAAGTAACTCCGCCGAACCTGCGTATTGGAAGATAGTGCCATTTGCAAATGTCGTCTTAATTAAATTTGTACTCGATTGACACTAAGTTGTTCAAAATCCTAGAGCATACGTTAGACCACTATGAGTATGCTATCCGATTTAGACTAAATCAGTGTCCACTGAATTCACATATCATTTTAATTACTAATCTAATCAAATTAATATGGCATTTTCGAAAAGGCGATCTCTATATGCTCTGATTTGGTGGAGATATTTGAATCAAAAAGTGGGGAAGACGTCAAGTAAATTTGGAGTGTCTAAAATTAATCAATTCAAGGTTGCGTTTTCTATTTTTGAATCCAAATATCCCGTTGATAGATCGAATCTTCTTAAAATGCAATGTTCAATAGATTTATGATTAGTTGACAGTGGTTTCGTCGAAATGGAAGTGCATGTTCTGGGATACCTTAGTCAGAGCTAACTGCATATTTTGCAAATTTTTAGGTCGTTGGCAAGAGGAAATGTGGTACAAGATGGATCTGTGATTCGCTGAATATAGAATGCGAAAAACATAATGCAAAAGCATGTGTTGCGTAAGTCAGTGAATTTTTTTGTCTGAGAAAATTGGAAAGTGTGTAAGTCGTACCTTTTTATTTTGTAGGGCTCAAATGAAGGAGTAACTCCAGATGCATGAAAATTCGAAGGGAGCATGTTCCATATATATTTACAAACTAAACATTACAGCATAAAATTTAATTTGCCCTATAAAACAAAAATTTGTCAAGATTTATTTTGCCAAAATTGATGTCAGCGACCCAACGTTTTATATTTTCATATGCATAATATTGTTTTTTATTTTAATGAATTCTAGTGTGAACGGATAAACAAGGACCTCTGCATCGTATTGTGTCCATCGAATATAAATTTCTATAAGGACTATATTTTCCTTATTAAATGTAGCACCTGATTTATACTTACCTAAATTCGCATAAAATTAAATCCAAACAATGTGGGTCAATCCTACGTGAATGTTAAGCGGTAAGAATGCGAAATCAATATGTTACGGAAGTACATATGTAAAGGGAATGTGCAAATTGTTGTGTTATTATCTTTATAATTTAGCATATTCATGTACATACATATGTACATATTCCACGTTCTCGCCAAATGTGGCATTTCATTCGCCAAATAAAATTTTGAAAACCTTGTGCTGAAAGCGCCGTAGAATGGATAATTTTTTTTTTCGCCAAATACGATTTTGTCTTAGCGATTTTTTTTTCAAAAGTGTTTTCGCAAAACTGCCCGAATGCATATCTATTTATATATGGAAGCAACCTATTACATTTCCATAATTTACTATGAAAGACCAATATTTATTTCAATTAGTTTCCTATTTTTCAGTTTTTTCCCAAACTCACGAAAAATCTACTTTTTAACGTTGGTCGGCATAGGGAAAATTCCAAAATTTGTGAAGAAAAATATCAAAAAAATCAAATTTTTTGGATTCGCCATCTGGATTTGAATGGAAATGAATAAAAGATTTGTTTTTTTACAATTTTTCTTCATCGCCGAACTAATGAGGCGAAGTTTGGATGAGATTCTAATGAAATCCGAATTTAGAAAATTATCATGCCACTCAAGGAGAGGAATATAAATTTATGTCAATATAAATTTATATAAATTTATGTTAATATAAATTTATATAAATTTACAACCTCCACCATATCAAATATCCTGAAACAATTGAACAATTATTAAGAATCGGGTTGTTAAAAGAATTATATTTCTCGGCTCTAAAAAATTATATAAGAAATCCATGGAAACTAAATTTAAGTATGAGATACATGTTTCTACCGCAATGTGAATTTGCAAAATCATGTTTTAAGAGTCTTCTTCTCACTAAAATACTTATATTTACCATTTGCTTAAGGTGACCCTGGTTGAAATCTCTTTGCCGAATTCTGCAGAAATCGACAAAAACCCTATGCATATTGTATCATGCATATTTTTTTTACATAATCCTGCAGAAAATTTGTGTCGCTATTATCCTGCAGAACCATATGTGCATAATTATGCATAATTCTGCATAGGTTTCTTCAGAAAGCTTTATGCATAAAGCATTTCTGCAGAAAATTGGGCCAATTTTCTGCAGGAAATCTGTTCAAATTTTTACTAGGGGAGCTTCGATCAGTCATTCCCGCGCGTTTTATTCCGCCCCATGTGTCCTCTTGCCTTGCTGAGAACTTAAAATTAACTTAATAATTCAATGTTAATTAATATTCAATTAAATTTAAATGTTATAACTTTCAAAGTATTCTATATTTTTAACTTAACAAAATTGTAGATTAGATTTTGTGGAAAACATATTTCGTCCTCAATGGCTTATTTCCCATCACAGGAACTGATTTTTTTCCTAAAATCTAATCTACAATTTTGCTAAGTTAAAAATATAGAATACTTTTAAAGCTATAACATTTAAATTTAATTGAATATTAACGGCGGAAACGTTATTTTAAGTTCTCCATAAGGAAACAAGACACATGGGCGGAATAAAACGCGCGGGAATGCCGGATCGAAGCTCACCTTAATGAGTAGCGGTTTTACATATTTCTAATACGTGGGCATGATATTTACGTATATCTAAATATGTATATATATTTATGCATAAACATTTCAATATTTCGACGTCATTTCGACCAAAATGATACATATCTGTATACACTCTCAATAATTTTTTGACGATATTGTTACTATGCAATTCTACCGCGTGGTAACACTATAGTAACAAATTGTCTTCTGTGGGTAAGAAATTGCCTCCGGTATCGGTAATATTTTATTACCTGAGCGTTGACATTGGGGGCGGAGCAGGATTTAGCCTCTTTATATATGTTACCCTTCGGTGATAAATTATTACCCGAGCGGTAGAGTTGCATAGTACCTCCGCTGGTAACAATATCATCAAAAAATTATTGAGTGTACGTTTAGCTTTTGTTATAGCCGATATAATGTTGTATTGTTTCATTGTACTAAGCAAAACCGGATATTCATAAAATTAGTAATGGGCGAGTAGTCCTATTTTATCACATCCATTATAATTTGAACCCTATAGCTTGTAAAACCTGAACAAGCAGTGTTTCCATCGTTTTCGCAAGTGGAAACTTTCTGTAAGTAACAATTTGCATACCCAGCTGTTTTGAAGCTCCATAATTAATCGACTTCAAAGAATTTCACAACATTTGTATACGCAATCAAATTCCACCCGAATTTTGGATTTTCTCGTAACAATCAGTACGTACATACATACATAAATAGATTGTCAAGTTGCGTAATTGTAAGTAATTGCAATTTCGCTATTTGGGAGATAGCGAACTGCAATTTCTTTGCAATTTCCAAAATGAGATTCACTTGCTATGTTCTCTTTGCAAACCGATATATCGTTAAAAAACGATGGTACCAACCATTGCAATGGTTAACTGGGCAATGCATTGCCCAGTTTCGATCATATTGAACAATCTGGAATATCTTTCTACTGAAATTTTGAAAAATTCCTTTCAGATCATCTCAAATGGGGACGCCTTTCAAATGTTGGATTTTGCTTTGCCTCACAGCCACCCTGGCTTTCGCAAATTATACGGATTATAGCCATCTTAAACTCCCCCCCTCGGGGTCCTGGTATTTGGAGGAATTTGGTAAATTAAGACCTGGTAAAGCTGATAAGTACACTGGATGCATGTGCCCCTCCACCCTCAACACTACCGGATCAACCTACATGTTTTGCGGACATGAGATGTTCCCCAAAGTGGGAGGGACATGCCAGCCAGAAGGAGGGTATCGATGCGTTAATGGCCAAGCTGAAGCAATAATGGAGCTGGATTGCGCTGATGAGTCGTCGGTAAGAGGCAATGTCCTAAAAAGTGCGTATTTGTATGTAGTTAGTCGTTTCTTGCCACTTTGCATAATCCCTTTTGCATAACGGTTATATTGCAGAATTTGTATTCCATAAAAGTCACATGGTATAAACAACCACTTTCCATATTACACTTTCTCATAAATTGTAAAAAAGAAATAACTTCTGATTAGTGATAGTTAAAATCGTGTAGGCAATACGAAATTGTTCACAAATATGTATTGCCAACGTATTGACTGTCGTATATACGATCAGATTTCAACGATATTCAACGATATCGACCTAACACACATTTGATTTTTATTCACGTTAACCACCTGGTAATTATTAAACCCCAGCTGCCAACTTAGCATTCTGTACTTTCATTAACACGATTCTTTTCCAAGAGATACCCGGCAAAAGAAACCCGATCCTTTTATAATTTTAAGTTTTTTCATAAACCAGAGTAAAAATTTGAAGGAAAAAATTGGGCCAATTTTCTGCAGAGCGATTTCTGAAGAAACCTATTTAGAATTATGCACCTGCGGCTCTACAGAATAATAATGGCGCATTTTTTCAGAGATACCTTAGTATTTAGTCTTTCCACCATGCATTTCAATCATGCTCTCAACTCTACGCTTTAAGCTGCATGCTAATTTTTCCAAAATTGATTTTGCTGTTAATTTTCGCTTGTCTCTAAATTGGATATATCAAAGGATTATGATCTTGTTAGATAGATTTGGATCAATTCTACTAAAATTTCAGATCCCTATAACCATTTTGAGACTAACTTGCTACTATACTATCCAATGATCAAGTTTTTATTGGATTTACCCTAGTTATGATGAATTGGTTGATCAAAATCGGAGTGCATACTAACAATGCGATAGTGTGAAGTGTAACTCACCGAATTGGTTGAAATTTTAAAATTATGTGAGCCAAGTCAATACAACCAACGTTTCTTGAGGTAGTCTGTGCGATGGTCCGAATTTGCCAAAATATTTAAGATCAAAGTCGACAAACGGGCGATTTTGTTCTTCAAATGGAATCGAAGTGGAGTTTGCTTCCTCCGCTCTGTAAAAATCGCCCATTTTTCAACTTTGACCTCCAATAATTTTACTAATTTCAACCATCGCACTAACTTCCTCAAGAAACGTTGGTTGTATTGACTTGGCTCACATAATTTTAAAATTTCAAACAATTCGGAGAGTTACACTCCACACTATCGCATTGTAAGTGATCACCATCACGGGTGTCAATTGAGTATTTTGCTACTTTTTAGGGCTGGGGCAAGAGGAAATGCGGTAAAAAAATACAATGTAAATTGCAGAAGATAGAATGTGCCAACCATAATGCAAAGGGATGCGTTCGGTAAGTCATTGACAAAAATATATGCACTTTGTTGAGTCAATGCAAAGCTAGCTAATTTTCTCCTTTTAACTTTGTATGTAGGTCTTAAACACCACTTATTTACAAAAGGCGAATCGACATGCTTTATACGACTTTGCACTTGAATATCTCTGGTGCAAATTCGAATTTTGAGCTGATTTTCGTAGGCAAGCAAGATAATATCCACAAAAACATGTCTGCAAAGTTTTATTTGGATAGCTTAAAAAATGTCCCCTCCAGGGCCCTCAGAGTTGGAGGGTGCTGTAAAAACACTTTCCAAACTGCTGTTCTAATAAAATGGCGTCGAACAAAAGATTTTTTTCTGAGGTCCTAATGCAGAAATTGTCTTTGTAACTATTATCAAACGACTAAGCATGCTTTTCACTATATACAACCACATTTGGCTCATGCTTATCTTTTAAGTCCGTTTTGTAGTCTAAATTTAAATTAGCCCAAATGGAATGCGCTCGCGCACGCAACTCTTCCACTGTTAAGGCCCCCACATTTTAAGACTTTCATGCTAAAAATCCCAATCGTTGTTTTTGTCCAAAATACAAATTGCATGTTGCACTGTAAGTACTTTTGACAAAATTTTGATAAGTGGTTACACTCATAGAAATCAGTTGTTATCAAATCCCATCAGTTTTGTAAAAAGGTTCTCCTCAAAATCGTACCGGAACTTTAAAATTCTGTAACTAATCAAAACGCAGTGATTTTATTATTTTGTCACTTGTACCTTGTAGATAAAATAGTTCTGAGGCAGGGGACACAAAAAAGTTATAAAAATTTATTTTCAACAAAATTTGACCATTAATTTTCCAAATAAGTTTACGAGTGTTTTAAGATTCCGCGTCAGCTGATTAGCTCGGGCCCTTCTCCAAAACTGGTTACCCAAAATCTTGACTGTTGTATTTAATA